CACTGTAGTTTTTTCTAGTTTTTAGAGTCCAATTTTTGGCAAATAAACGAAGTCCAAGTTCAACCAGTCTAATACAACGAAGAGATAAAGTTAAATTAGACAAAACACGTGTTCCATTGGTGGATTTACGTTTACGGCGCTTATAGCACCGAAGACACGGAATGTTAAAGGCGTAAAAAATAGAAAAATGTTCTAAATTTTTATATATAGTTAGAAAGGTTTAATTTTAGCATTTTTGACTTATGCAAATAAGAAATAGAAAAACTGGGCTTTCTAAGTTATAGTGCGGTTTATGTAGTTTTATGCTTCACTTTATGTACTTAGCAATTTGAAGAAAAATGTCCCACAAAATAGTTGATCAAAGCTATTGTTATGTTCCAGAGATTTGTGGAATCGTAATACCTAAGCCATACCAGTCGTGTAAGCTTTTCACTATATTAGTATGTCATAATATTGATTCTTGTTTCTTATGTCAAATCTAGATTCACATTAAGATACTTCAACGCGTAAACATTAGTGACATCCAAATGACATTCCGATTTTCTTTCTTTAGCATTTAAAATACCAATACCGTCGTAAGTAGAAAATTTCAGTTTGTTATATTCTATAACTATGTGATGAGAATCAATCGGCTTAACCAGAGAAAATCGATGTCGGTTATATGTCAAAGAATGTGGAGAAGAGGAGTTAGTGTTTTTCCTAAACTAGTGGGAACGTGAACAAGACAATTCATATTGTAGTAGTTACTTTCTTTTAGTTTTGTATTTAAAATGCTACAATAGTGAAATTAATATGAAGAGAAAATTGTCTAAAGTAACGAGTGTTCTTGTTTTGATCAACAAATTTGTTAGTTCTAATATTGCGACTTATCAACTTGGTATCAGAGCCTCCATTTCGTTTTTGATTCAGACCAGTTCGTGGTATCAAAAACATCTTTCGTTCACCATCTATCTTGGTTTTGATTTTTATCGAAACCTTTTTTTTTATCGGAATCTATGGAACTCTACAACGAGATTTATGGAGCGCCAATCTTCGATGTCTATGACGATGAAGAGCCAACGTTCGATGTCTACAACGAAGAGCCAACGTTCAATGTTTACGACGACGAAGAACCAATATTCGATGTTAGCAATGTGGATCCAATCTCCGTAGACGGTGGTGGAGTTAACGTGTTTCATGTTGACGCCTTTATCACATCGCTTTGGATCCGAAGTGTTCCAAAACCCATTGCCTCCTCTGCATTTGGTGAAGGAATTCCGATGACGAGCCAACTTTCTTCACTCCGCCACAATGTGATTTTTTGCATGGAACCAGAACGTTTTCTCCAACTACCATTTGATCGTGGGCGAGCTAGGGATTTGGTGGCTTCACGGTCACAAACGTTGAACTTTGAGGACAAAGTTATTTTGGACGGTGGAGTATTGATGAGAATCAATCGGCTTAACCGGAGAAAACCGATGTCGGTTATATGTCAAAGAATGTGGAGAAAAGGAGTTAGTGTTTTTCTTAAACTAGTGGGAACGTGAACAAGACAATTCATATTGTAGTAGTTACTTTCTTTTAGTTTTGTATTTAAAATGCTATAATGGTGAAATCAATATGAAGAGAAAATTGTCTAAAGTAACGAGTGTTCTTGTTTTGATCAACAAATTTGTTAGTTCTAATATTGGGACTTATCACTATGTTAACAAAATAAATGTAAGATTTCGGTTTTGGTTTGATTAGGTTACAAAACTATAAAATCAAATGAGTTTTAGTTTTTAATTAAATTTAAATAAAGTTTCTATGTTTAATTTTAGCAGTTTAGACTTATTCAAATGTAATGTGTTTATTGAAATTTACATGCTTCTAAAAAAATATGTATCACAGTTTTACATGGTTTATTTAGAATCTAAACCAAACCAATCTGAAATTACACGAAGTCAAGCTGGTTAAAACTCCTTACCATAGTTTCGACAATAACTTCAACAAAATATATATCCATATTTTGAAGCAATAAAACAAAAGCGCCCGTGGCCTAATGGATAAGGCGTTTGACTTCTAATCAAACGATTGTGGGTTCGAGTCCCACCGGGCGTGCTAGTTTCATTTCTCTATACAACATTTTACTGATTAAACGTTTTAAGTACCTTTTTTTCCTTTATTACTTGAAAGATGTTATTAATTTGCTGATTAATCCACTAGCAATCCTCCACATTTGAAACTACTAAAGCTGATAAACCAAAATCCTAACACTAATCAGCTCACCCGATGGCTAAACTCGGGTCAACCCGTTTACCCGAAGACTGTAACTCCGTCAACTCAATCTCTCTCCGCCGTAGAATCAGAACCATCCTCTCCGTCTCTAACCTCCGTCGCTGATTCTCGAGCTTAGCCTTCTCCATTTCTCTCTCTTTCTTGCTTCGATACCTCATCCATTTCACTCTCTGCTTCTCCATCTCCACCGCTTCCCACTCGTACCCAACCTTCTTCTCTTCAATCTCCAATGCTTTCTTCCTCAACCACTCTCTCTTCTCCCACGCGCTCTTCCCCGCGTCTTCCACCACACGCGCCGCCTCCTCCCTAATTCGTTTCACCGCCGGAGATAAACCTCTCCG